GTGCTATTTTCTATGTCCAGCTACACAACGAGATGAGGATGGTCATTGTCATTTTCTGAGCTGCGAACGGGCAGAAAGGTGAGAAAATGTCGGATTTTGACCATTTGTGCTGACCTTTCAATTTCAACGTACCTCTCTATAACATGACCCAGTTGTAATTTCAGTGGTCGCATTGGTTTCATTTTTGGTTTGCTTGTTGGACGCTGGCACCCGCATTCAGTGACCCAGAAAATTTGGCACTGCTGTGAATAGTTTAGTCGCAAAGTGAAGATTCACGGGTAAAAAGCCCCAAACTTCTAGATAGGTTCTTTATCAGCTTTCAGAAGCCCTGGGTGAGTTCTTTAGAGAAATGTGGCTCTTTTTCATGGTGCTATTTTCTATGTCCAGCTACACAACGAGATGAGGATGGTCATTGTCATTTTCTGAGCTGCGAACGGGCAGAAAGGTGAGAAAATGTCGGATTTTGACCATTTGTGCTGACCTTTCAATTTCAACGTACCTCTCTATAACATGACCCAGCTGTAATTTCAGTGGTCGCATTGGTTTGATTTTTGGTTTGCTTGTAGGGCGCTGGCACCCGCATTCAGTGACCCAGAAAATTTGGCCCTGCTGTGAATAGTTCAGTCGCAAAGTGAAGATTCACGGGTAAAAAGCCCCAAACTTCTAGATAAGTTCTTTTTTAGTTTTCAGCAGCCCTCAGTGAGTTCTTTAGAGAAATGTGGCTCTTTTTCATGGTGCTAATTTCTATGTCCAGCTACACAACAAGATGAGGTTGTTCATTATCATTTTCTGAGCTGCGAACGGGCAGAAAGGTGAGAAAATGTCGGATTTTGACCATTTGTGCTGACCTTTCAATTTCAACGTACCTCTCTATAACATGACCCAGCTGTAATTTCAGTGGTCGCATTGGTTTCATTTTTGGTTTGCTTGTAGGGCGCTGGCACCCGCATTCAGGGACCCAGAAAATTTGGCACTGCTGTGAATAGTTTAGTCGCAAAGTGAAGATTCACGGGTAAAAGCCCCAAACTTCTAGATAGGTTCTTTATCAGCTTTCAGAAGCCCTGGGTGAGTTCTTTAGAGAAATGTGGCTCTTTTTCATGGTGCTATTTTCTATGTCCAGCTACACAACGAGATGAGGATGGTCATTGTCATTTTCTGAGCTGCGAACGGGCAGAAAGGTGAGAAAATGTCGGATTTTGACCATTTGTGCTGACCTTTCAATTTCAACGTACCTCTCTATAACATGACCCAGCTGTAAGTTCAGTGGTCGCATTGGTTTGATTTTTGGTTTGCTTGTAGGGCGCTGGCACCCGCATTCAGTGACCCAGAAAATTTGGCACTGCTGTGAATAATTTAGTCGCAAAGTGAAGATTCACGGGTAAAAAGCCCCAAACTTCTAGATAGGTTCTTTTTCAGCTTTCAGCAGCCCTGGGTGAGTTCTTTAGAGAAATGTGGCTCGTTTTCATGGTGCTATTTTCTATGTCCAGCTACACAACGAGATGAGGATGGTCATTGTCATTTTCTGAGCTGCGAACGGGCAGAAAGGTGAGAAAATGTCGGATTTTGACCATTTGTGCTGACCTTTCAATTTCAACGTACCTCTCTATAACATGACCCAGCTGTAATTTCAGTGGTCGCATTGGTTTGATTTTTGGTTTGCTTGTAGGGCGCTGGCACCCGCATTCAGTGACCCAGAAAATTTGGCACTGCTGTGAATAGTTTAGTCGCAAAGTGAAGATTCACGGGTAAAAAGCCCCAAACTTCTAGATAGGTTCTTTTTCAGCTTTCAGCAGCCCTGGGTGAGTTCTTTAGAGAAATGTGGCTCTTTTTGGCACTGCTGTGAATAGTTTAGTCGCAAAGTGAAGATTCACGGGTAAAAAGCCCCAAACTTCTAGATAAGTTCTTTTTCAGCTTTCAGCAGCCCTCAGTGAGTTCTTTAGAGAAATGTGGCTCTTTTTCATGGTGCTAATTTCTATGTCCAGCTACACAACAAGATGAGGTTGTTCATTATCATTTTCTGAGCTGCGAACGGGCAGAAAGGTGAGAAAATGTCGGATTTTGACCATTTGTGCTGACCTTTCAATTTCAACGTACCTCTCTATAACATGACCCAGCTGTTATTTCAGTGGTCGCATTGGTTTCATTTTGGTTTGCTTGTAGGGCGCTGGCACCCGCATTCAGTGACCCCAAAAATTTGGCACTGCTGTGAATAGTTTAGTCGCAAAGTGAAGATTCACGGGTAAAAAGCCCCAAACTTCTAGATAGGTTCTTTTTCAGCTTTCAGCAGCCCTGGGTGAGTTCTTTAGAGAAATGTGGCTCTTTTTCATGGTGCTATTTTCTATGTCCAGCTAGACAACGAGATGAAGATGGTCATTGTCATTTTCTGAGCTACGAACGGGCAGAAAGGTGAGAAAATGTCGGATTTTGACCATTTGTGCTGACCTTTCAATTTCAACGTACCTCTCTATAACATGACCCAGCTGTAATTTCAGTGGTCGCATTGGTTTCATTTTTGGTTTGCTTGTAGGGCGCTGGCACCCGCATTCAGTGACCTAGAAAATTTGGCACTGCTGTGAATAGTTTAGTCGCAAAGTGAAGATTCACGGGTAAAAAGCCCCAAACCCCTAGATAGGTTCTTTTTCAGCTTTCAGCAGCCCTGGGTGAGTTCTTTAGAGAAATGTGGCTCTTTTTCATGGTGCTATTTTCTATGTCCAGCTACACAACGAGATGAGGATGGTCATTGTCATTTTCTGAGCTGCGAACGGGCAGAAAGGTGAGAAAATGTCGGATTTTGACCATTTGTGCTGACCTTTCAATTTCAACGTACCTCTCTATAACATGACCCAGTTGTAATTTCAGTGGTCGCATTGGTTTCATTTTTGGTTTGCTTGTTGGACGCTGGCACCCGCATTCAGTGACCCAGAAAATTTGGCACTGCTGTGAATAGTTTAGTCGCAAAGTGAAGATTCACGGGTAAAAAGCCCCAAACTTCTAGATAGGTTCTTTATCAGCTTTCAGAAGCCCTGGGTGAGTTCTTTAGAGAAATGTGGCTCTTTTTCATGGTGCTATTTTCTATGTCCAGCTACACAACGAGATGAGGATGGTCATTGTCATTTTCTGAGCTGCGAACGGGCAGAAAGGTGAGAAAATGTCGGATTTTGACCATTTGTGCTGACCTTTCAATTTCAACGTACCTCTCTATAACATGACCCAGCTGTAATTTCAGTGGTCGCATTGGTTTGATTTTTGGTTTGCTTGTAGGGCGCTGGCACCCGCATTCAGTGACCCAGAAAATTTGGCACTGCTGTGAATAGTTTAGTCGCAAAGTGAAGATTCACGGGTAAAAAGCCCCAAACTTCTAGATAGGTTCTTTTTCAGCTTTCAGCAGCCCTGGGTGAGTTCTTTAGAGCAATGTGGTTCTTTTTCATGGTGCTATTTTCTATGTCCAGCTACACAACGAGATGAGGATGTTCATTGTCATTTTCTGAGCTGCGAACGGGCAGAAAGGTGAGAAAATGTCGGATTTTGACCATTTGTGCTGACCTTTCAATTTCAACGTACCTCTCTATAACATGACCCAGCTGTAATTTCAGTGGTCGCATTTGTTTCATTTTTGGTTTGCTTGTAGGGCGCTGGCACCCGCATTCAGTGACCTAGAAAATTTGGCACTGCTGTGAATAGTTTAGTCGCAAAGTGAAGATTCACGGGGTAAAAAGCCCCAAACTCCTAGATAGGAGATAGATGGAACTGTCCTCAAGCCAGTCACGTATTTGGCAGCCCAGTGAGCTCTCTACCGGATTGCAGATTTTAGAAGCGCCAAATGCGGCAGGGCCAGTCTCAGGCTGGTCGCGTAGACGGCATGCCGGCGGGTGACCGGCAAGGCTGCATTCGCATTTGGATCACCGAAGTGATACAGGTGCTTCGACTGCACCCCGTGGCGCATCAGGGAGGCATCTGGGGCCCAGGCATCCCGCCCGTAAGCGCACCACCATATCAGGTATGCGCAGGTGGAGCAGCAGAGCAAGATGTGTGCCAGACACACACCATCATCCGGTCGACTTCACGGTTGTGCGACTTTACACAGCCGGCACTCATTACTTGCTATTGCTTGCAGAAGGCCAGATTTTTTTTCTTTTTTCGCTCTTTCCCTTCTTCCAGGCACGGCTTCAGGTTAGAGCAGTAAATAGCAGTTAGGGACTCAGCTGAGTCAAGCTGGACTCGTTGTGTCAAGTTTGGCATGATACAAGAAGCGCGCTATCCCCAAACAGTTGTGTGGTTATTGTGAGAGTGTATATGCAGGAGTCCGCGGTCACGTGAGGGGGGGAGTGATAATTAAATTTTTGGTTTGCTTGTAGGCCGCTGGCACCAGCATTCAGTGACACCGAGAATTTGGCACTGCTGTGAATAGTTTAGTCGCAAAAGTGATGAATCACGGGCAAAAAGAGGCCGCTGGCACCAGCATTCAGTGACACCGAGAATTTGGCACTGCTGTGAATAGTTTATTCGCAAAAGTGATGAATCACGGGCAAAAAGGCCCAAAACTGGGAGATTGGTTCTTTTCAGCATTCAGCAGCCCTGGGCGCGATGTTTATTGAAATGTGGCTTTTTTTTGGTGCACTTCCCTATGTCCAGTTATACAACACGATGAGGGTGGCAATGGTCAGTTCTTGAGTTTCGAACGGGCAGAAAGGTGAGAAATTGTTGCTTTTTGACCATTTGTGCCAGCGTGTCACTTTCAACGTACCTCTCTATAACATGACCCGGCTGTGATGTGAGTGGTCGCATTGATTTGATTTTTGGTTTGCTTGTAGACCACTGGCACCCGGATTCAGTGACGCCAAAAATTTGGCATTGCTGTGAATAGTTTAGTCGCAAAGTGAAGAATCACGGGCAAAAAGACCCAAAACTGGGAGATTGTTTTTTTTTTAGCATTCAGCAGCCCTGAGCGAGTTGTTTATTGAAATGTGGCATTTTTTCTTCGTGCACTTCCCTATGTCCAGCTACACAACAAGATAAGGGTGGCGATGGTCAGTTGTCGAGCTTCGAACGTGCAGAAAGGTGAGAAATTGTCGCATTTTGACCATTTGTGCCCACGTGTCACTTTCAACGTACCTCTCTATAACATGACCCGGCTGTGATGTGAGGGGGAGTGATAATTTAATTTTTGGATTGTTTGTAGGCCGCTGGCACCAGCATTCAGCGACTCCGAAAATTTGGCGCTGTTGTGAATAGTTTAGTCGCAAAGTGTAGAATCACCTGCAGAAAAAGCCCAAAAACTGGGAGATTGTTTCTTTTCAGCATTCAGCAGCCCTGGGGGCGTTGTTTTTTTTGAAATGTGGCATTATTTTGGTGCACTTCCCTATGTGCAGTTATACAACACGATGAGGGTGGCGATGGTCAGTTCTTGAGTTTTGAACGGGCAGAAAGGTGAGAAATTGTTGCTTTTTGACCATTTGTGCCCGCGTGTCACTTTCAACGTACCTCTCTATAACATGACCCGGCTGTGATGTGAGTGGTCGCATTGATTTTAGTTTTGGTTTGCTTGTAGGGCGCTGGCACCCGCATTAAGTGACGCCGAAAGTTTGGCATTGCTGTGAATAGTTTAGTCGCAAAGTGAAGAATCACGGGCAAAAAAGCCCAAACTGGGAGATTGTTTCTTTTCAGCATTCCGCAGCCCTGGGCAAGTTTTTTATTGAAATGTGGCATTTTTTCTTGGTGCACTTCCCTATATCCAGCTACACAACAAGATGAGGGTGGCGATGGTCAGTTGTTGAGCTTCGAACGGGCAGAAAGGTGAGAAATTGTCGCTTTTTGACCATTTGTGCCCACGTGTCACTTTCCACGTACCTCTCTATAACATGATCCGGCAGTGATGTGAGTAGTCGCATTGAATGGAAGTTTCCGGAGGAGGAAGACGGAAACTGTAGTTGTCACCAACCCTCACCGCGCCCAGCTCACGCCGCTACGGCGTGCAACCAGAGCTGGGCGCCCTACCGTGCACTATGGAACTGTCCTCAAGCCAGTCACGTATCGTCGCATTGAACATAACCCAGCTGTGATGTGAGTGGTCGCATTGATTTTATTTTTGGTTTGCTTGCAGGCCGCTGGCACCCGCATTCAGTGACGCCGAAAATGTGGCACTGCTGTGAATATTTTAGTCGCAAAGTGAAGAATCACGGGCAAAAAGGCCCAAAACTGGGAGATTGTTTCTTTTCAGCTTTCAGCAGCCCGGGGCGAGTTGTTTAATGAAATGTGGCTTTTTTTCTTGGTGCACTTCCCTATGTCCAGCTACACAACAAGAGGAGGGTGGCGATGGTCAGTTCTTGAGCTTCAAACGGGAAGAAAGGTGAGAAATTGTCGCTTTTGACCATTTGTACCCACGTGTCACTTTCAACGTACCTCTCTATAACATGACCCGGTTGTGATGTGAGGGATCGCATTGATTTGGGCATTAGGTAATTTTAGTACAGTAGAGTACAGTGAAGTACAGTAGAGTCGCGCAATGAAGAACGTCGAGCCCTAGAACGTCCTGCATGAAATGCTGTGAACGCCACAGCCCTAAGTTAAGAATGGCAGTGTTGATTTTCCGGCGGCTTTTGGGATAGATATGATCCAGTACGAATTGTTTCCTAGAACGTGCTATAAGAACGCAGCCAGATTGCCCAACAAAATAAGAATGCCCCAGACTAACCCCTTGGAAACAACATTCTTGGACACGCGACTCTACTGTAATAGGAAGATATGTGTAGCTCATTGCCATGTTTGGTGCGTGCGTGCGTGCGTGCGTGCGTGCGTGTGTGGTGTAATCCCAGTACAAGTTGCTATGCCTAACATAGCTGTTCGCTATCATCGCTTCCGCGATGGGCAAGTCTGAGGTCTGAGGTGTGTGTGTAGAGATTCACTGGCCAGAAAAAGCCACTTCATAGCTGTGTGGTGTAGACCAGGCTGAATAGTGGCGGTCAATTCTTCAGCCGTGCAAGCTGTTGAATGGTGCAATCCCAGCACAAGCTGCTATGGCTTCTGCCGTAGCATCGCAACCATTGCCTCTGGCGATGGGCATCCAATGGTCCAATCGTGTGTGTGTGTGTGTGTGTGTGTGTCTTGTTCGCTATCGTTGCTATAAGAGAAAATCTGTGGGAGCACATCCAGTGCATTTGCAGATTTGCGTGCTTCTCTTGCGACGGTTGTATACATGGTACATGGTACATGGTACATGGTGTTTGTGTGTGTGTGGGTGTGTAAGTAAGTAAGTATGACCGTCACCGGGGGCAGTGGTAACTGCAATTGGATCCCGGGACGGATGCCCTAATGCCGTCAACCCTGGTTCTGCACCTTGTCCTCACCCACATACTGAGGTGTGGCGAGCCCAGAAGTGGAATATTTTCCACCCAGTCCAAGTCAAGTTCACCAAGAGTTTGACGAATTCAGGGGGTGTCGGCCGTTAAGCAGTTTAATAGCCAATTGAGACATCTTTCCAAGATTCCTTTTTCATCTCTCTCCCCTCTGCCGGGGAGACTCATGTGACCAGTTATGGAAGGAAGCAAGTACAATTACAAAATGTGTGTGTACATGTATGAACATGTATGTTTGTATATGTATATGTTTGTGTATGTTTGTATATGTGTGTGTGTGTGTATATTGGCCGGTGTTCTCACTGTGCTATGAGATGCTGTAATAAATAAATAAATAATAATAAAGATGTGTGTGTGTGTGTGTGTGTGTGTGTGTGTGTGTGTGTGTGTGTGTGTGTGTGTGTGTGTGTGTGTTGGTGTGTGTGTATAAATGTGTGCACTTTTGCATGCATGTGTGTATGCACGGGTGTATTTTCTTGTTCGTTACTCTCGTTTTTCTCAGGAGGAGGCCAACTGAGACACAAAAGTTGTGGTGATGAAAGGCTGTGCAAAGAATTTCCAACCACAACCCTGCAGACCGGGAGCCAAATGAACAGGACCTCGAGCAGCTTTAATTACATCTGAACATGTTTCTATAAGGAAGAGTTGACAAGGTACCTGGAGATTACAATGACTCGTGCCCTCTTGAAAGAACACTCCGCACGCACACTGCTTTGCATTTTAGAATATACATACGCTTTGTGTTACTGTGCAGATACATTGTGTCTGGTATAGCGAAATATGACCAGCACTTCATTGTATTGGGATGGGTGGCCTGTTCGATTATAATGGAACTTGTACTTCACTCCTATGAATAATATACTGCCGGGCTGCTAAAGATGTGCACACTCGACTGCTTTGGTCACGGGACAAAATCCGCTGGCCCGCACTCCACTGGATTATAATACTGCATTGCATTGCTGGTGCCAATGTAGTGTACTTTATGTATGGAGATTTCTAATGACCTTGGTGCACGCTATTTACTGTTGCTAACGGGAAAGTCTAGACAAAACCTTGTAAATCTGAGTTTCCAACTTTTCGATACCTCAGCCAAGATTGCCATGTCCAGCACGGTGAGATAGATTAGTGGAGATAGATTTTAAAAGATGGCAATAAACAGAATCAGCTAAAGCGCCTGTTCAAATATTCCAATTCGGAGATAGATTTTGTCAAAATTAACTCCTTTTGTAAATGGACAGAGAGAGAGGGGGGGGGGGAGAGAGACAGAGATCAATCAGCAAGCCGGAGAAGAGACTTCTAAGATTTTCTTCTCCGGTAGAATTTTCCTGCTTGTTTCTCCTTCCTCATGCAGAAACAACAAGAGTTCAGCCATCAGCAAGCCAAGAGCAAACACTTGCTGCTCTCTGATTGGCCGAGGGCGGTTGGCCAGTCATTTCAGGTGTGAAGTGCAGTGTGCCAGGATAGGCTATAAAAGTAATCATTCCAGGAGGGGATGGTGGTCGGGGTTTGGGATGGCCAGAATTTAGATTTTCTTCTCTAGGCTTGTTTCTCCTTCCTCACGCAGAAACAACAGGAGTTCAGACATCAGCATTCTTCTCTAGGCCAGTTTCTCCTTCCTCACGCAGAAACAACAGGAGTTCAGACATCAGCATTCTTCTCTAGGCCAGTTTCTCCTTCCTCACGCAGAAACAACAGGAGTTCAGACATCAGCATTCTTCTCTAGGCCAGTTTCTCCTTCCTCACGCAGAAACAACAGGAGTTCAGACATCAGCATTCTTCTCTAGGCTTGTTTCTCCTTCCTCACGCAGAAACAACAGGAGTTCAGACATCAGCATTCTTCTCTAGGCTTGTTTCTCCTTCCTCACGCAGAAACAACAGGAGTTCAGCCATCAGCATTCTGCGTGAGGAAGGAGAAACAGGCCTAGAGAAGAAAATGTAAGAAGCAAACACTTGCTGCTCTCTGATTGGCCGAGGGCGGTTGGCCAGTCATTTCAGGTGTGAAGTGCAGTGCAAGGATAGGCTATACAAGTAATCATTTTCTTCTCTAGGGCAGAAACAACGAGAGTTCAGACATTCCTCCCTCATGCAAAAAAAACAGCAAGAGTTCAGACATCAGCAGGCCAAGAAGAAAACACTTGCTGAACTATGATTGGCTGAGGGCGGTTGACCAGTCATTTCAGAATTCTCCCTGCCGGCTTAGAGAATTCTAAAATTCAGTCAATCAGAGTTCAGTATGAGGAAGCATTCTTCTCTAGGCTTGTTTCTCCTTCCTCACGCAGAAACAACAGGAGTTCAGCCATCAGCATTCTGCGTGAGGAAGGAGAAACAGGCCTAGAGAAGAAAATGTAAGAAGCAAACACTTGCTGCTCTCTGATTGGCCGAGGGCGGTTGGCCAGTCATTTCAGGTGTGAAGTGCAGTGCAAGGATAGGCTATACAAGTAATCATTTTCTTCTCTAGGGCAGAAACAACGAGAGTTCAGACATTCCTCCCTCATGCAAAAAAAACAGCAAGAGTTCAGACATCAGCAGGCCAAGAAGAAAACACTTGCTGAACTATGATTGGCTGAGGGCGGTTGACCAGTCATTTCAGAATTCTCCCTGCCGGCTTAGAGAATTCTAAAATTCAGTCAATCAGAGTTCAGTATGAGGAAGTAGGAAGGACTGTTTTCGGTGCCACAGTGTCTCTAACTGGCATGGTTTTGAGCAACACTCTACCTGAAGCAGGGACGCATACCCTAGTACCCAATCACAACCCTATTTCAAACAGGACTCGAGCCAGACATCCAAGTATCTCCTTTCTGCCATCGCTTTCTCACACACACACACAAACACACGCTCACATACACACAAACACCTTACCGCTAACATTATAATTATACCGCACAGCTAATCGAATATGACAGTAGCATGGGGTGTACGTTTCAAGCAGCAGGGAGGCGCCGAGGCCCTGCACAGGACAATGCCGCAGAAGCATGGTACACGATGTCACATCCAATCACCCAGCTCTCCCGACATTAGAATTCTCTTCGCCGGCTTGGGGAATTCTAAAATTCAAGCAATCAGAGTTCAGTATGAGTAGGGACTTCGGTCATCAGCACACTAAGAAGGATTGCCGAGGGCTGAAGTCCTTACTCCTTTACCGTGCAATTAAATCCCACGAACGAGTCACTTAAAAAGTATGTTGCCCTAGACCTGTGCCCACCGGGCTGGGCTGCGAATAGGGCAGCGCCTACTTGACTCACGGGAAAGGATTTCATTGACCAACTCTACAACCAAAGCAGGGTTGCATAGCCCCCCTCCCCCCCCCCCCCACACACATATAAGCACACTCTGCTAAAAGCTGCAATTCCGTGGAGGCAACCATACCGGTATGGATACCCTAGTACCCAATCACAACCCTATTTCAAACAGCACTCAAACCAGACACTGAATGCCGTAACATCCAAATATCTCCTTTCTCCCATCGCTCACACACACACACACACACACCTTTGACGCCCATCGCCAGAGGCGATGATAGCAATGCTACGGCAGAAGCCATAGCAACTTGTGCTGGGATCACACCATTCAACAGCTTGCAAAGCTGAAGAATTGACCGTCACTATTCAGCCTGGTCTACACCATACAGCTATTTGGAGTGACATTTTCTGGCCAGTGAATCCCTATTTTTGGTCTTTTTCATTTCTTTCACACACACACACACACACACTGTACTTGTTGCTCACTGCCAAAACTGGTCACGTGAGTCTCCCCGGGAGAGGGGAGAGAGACTCAAAAGGAATCTTGGAAAGATGACTCAATTGGTTATTGAACCGCCCAACGGCCGATACCCCCTGAAATCCCCAAAACTCTGGGTGGACTTGAAAATGACCCCACTTATGGGCTCACCACACCTCAGTAAGTGGGTGAGGACAAGGTGCAGAAAAAGGATTGACGGCATCAGGGTATCCGTCCCGGGATCCAACTGCAGTTACCCCTGCCCCCCCGTGAAGGTAATACTTGCTACTAGTGTGAGTGGCTAAGTCAGAGTGGATCTGATAAAAGCTTCACTAGTACCATTGATTACACAAGAGTTAATCTAGCCAGAAGCAGTCCATGGTTAACAGGTATGTATACTTCAAATAGAAAGTATATGAACCCTGGAACCAACAAAGGTGGCAGGTACAACATTACACCTTCAAGCAGCCAAGCCAGTTGGCAACAGACCCAACACAATCAGGCATAAGTTTACCAACCAACCGAACTAGCTGGCACACACACATACACACACACACACACACACACACACACACACACACACACACACACACACACACACACACACACACACACACACACACTCACCTTACTGCTAACAATAGAATTATACTGAACAACTAATCGAATATGACAGTAGCATGGGGTGTACGTTTCAAGCGGCAGGAAGGCCCCCGAGGCCCTGCACAGTATAATGCCACAGAAGCATGGTACACTGCACGTTACAAGCAACGATGTCACATCCAATCACCCAGCTCTCCTGGCATTAGAATTCAACAATCTGTAAACTGCTGAGTGGTTGACAATAGGGGAAGAATACATGTTGCGCTCCTTGTAAGGCCATGGGGTACAAGCAGTCATGCTGGCAACCGTTAGTTTCATGCGGGGAGCATCTCCTCATCACACACACGTGCACAAGCCCACTGCTATGACATAACGACGACCATGATCCACACACAACAACCAAGATAGCGGCAACAAGCGGCAAACAAGCAGCACACTCGGAAAAAATATTTTTTCAGACACATGAAAAATTAAAAGTTGATTGTTGATGTCCACTGCATCACTGTAGATGTTTGCAGCAGCAATGGCATGCATTACAGTGGCCAACAGTTCAGTCCGATGCACGTCTGAAGGCAAAGAAAAATATCACACGAATACAGTGGAACATAGATTATCCCCACATCATCTATCCGCAAGATCAAGTATTGGAATGGCAGCCGGAAGGCCGATTACCTGGAATGGCAGGTCCTCCAAAGTTTCGAAAAAACAAAACAAAAAAAGATGCACAATGCAGTACTTGAGTTCACCAGTGCAGTCGTGTAGTCTGTAGATATACCAGGTAAGTGTGTGCTGCTAGAATGCCCGGCGTCAATGCAGGGTGGTATGCATTTTCGACGATGAAACTGTATGGCATGCATGTACATATACATAGTCCTTGTATGAGCCCTATGTCACTCTCTCATTATACGAACATTTTCCCCATCTGAGCTCCTTCTGAACAATGTCTGCCCAGAAGGGTTGGGATATGATTGACGCTATCCTACAAAACTGAGAATTTGGCATGTTCTTGTAGCGTGGCAACCCCGGCGGCAACCCTGTTATACCATAAAGTACAGTGAATAGATCACCATCACCATCACCATCACCATCACCATCACCATCCCCATCCCCATCCCCATCACCATCCCCATCCCCATCCCCATCCCCATCCCCATCACCATCCCCATCCCCATCACCATCCCCATCACCATCACCATCCCTGCTGCTGTGTTGACTACCAGCTCTATTACAGCATGTGTGATGTGGGAGTTTAGATTGAGTTACTCAACTGCAGTACGGGATAATAATTATTATAAAATTGAATGCAGAAGACCAGCACCTGTTCGGAGAGTGCGGCCATACTGGACTGATTATGTACAGTTCCACCCACCAGTATTACGGTGTGAACTGGCTAGCATGTCTTATGCGCAGGCCGCAAACTAAAGCCCGTCCGTCCACAATACTCTGCCTCAATTTCTAGCTGATTTCTTTGCCCTTCGAGTGGACAAAATAGATTTGAAAAATCGCTCTGGGAAGCGACAATTTTAAGGACGTGGAGGGAGTAGATAAAAAACTTCACACCTAGCGTGACATACTAGAACAAGTAGTAGCCAGTCGTATCTGCCACGCAAGGACAGTACCCGGCACAGTCATGACTGGTTTTGGCATTCATCAGTGCTAATATTTATATTTATCCATCACAACTAAGACTAGTTTGACATATGGGCCTCAACCAGCGAAAACAGCCCTTAGGGTCAACATTTTCAAAATTCCTTTTTGGTTAGAAATTTGTTGAACCACATCTACTGAAGGACCTCAGCCAAGAAAAAAATCAATATTCCGATTCTAAACGGGTGTATACACCAATATACAATATGTACTCCAAATTGGTGCAATGTATGTATACGATGTATGTGTACAATGAATATTCAGCATTCGAAGGTGGGTGGGCAGCTTGAATACTTTTGAAATAGTGAAGTAAGCAGCTATAATGACAAAGAATAGCTAATGAGTGCGGAGAGATGATCGACATATTCGCAGCTTCATCCTGCGTGGAGTCGTTCCGCAATCTCGTCTTCCATTTCTTCCTCCGCAGCTGAAGACACGACGTCGCTGCCGTCACTAGCCCCAGCCACAGAATTTATCTCAGGTGACGACTCCTCATCTTCCGACTCTGACGAGTCATAGGCCACCTTGAGCCGCATCGCAGCAGGAGATGACGGCTGCGATCCGCCTCGCTGTCGACATCGATGTCGGCACCAAAGAACGTTTCATCCTCATTCTGAACTTCAGCGGCTACTTCAGCATCCACTCCCCACCAGGCTCGAGCTAGCTGTAGACAATGACTGCCGTGTGTGCTCTGCGAACAGGTCTGGCGTCCGGAGCCATCGCAACAAGATCAAGGAACACTGGAGTCGCCACTCGACACCCCTTCAACTTCAAAATAAATTACTTCAAGCAAAGAGTTCAAGAAGTCGTGTCGCGCTGTGCATGTTTGCAGCGCGATCAAAAAATCGTTGATCACAAATCGACCTTTTCCTCGAAAAAAATTACGAAATCTCTAAGGGTCGTTTTCGCTGATTGCGGCTCATATGTCAGTGCCAACATTATTCCATTACTTATCCCTCACATCATCCATAACATCTGTGTGATATTGGCCTTCATTCGTTGAATCGAGTAGAGTAATGTCAATCTAAGTGCTAAGTATCACGCATGATCTGATTCATAATGACTAGTCTTAGGTTTTTATTATCATTTGTCTGATGATTGCAGTGGCATGAAACTTTGAGTTACGACAAATCCAAACTGGACCTATTTCACATATTCCGTGTTTCGTGTAAGTAGGAGTGTTCAAGCAGCGTGACGTCAGCACTTTTTTTTTTATTTATTTTATTTTTTTTTTACTACGTTCACATAACCAGCTCGAAAAGAATAAGGAAAGACAATGGTACGGAGACTAGGACAAACGTGACAACTAATGAGCAGGCGCTGCACCGAGACGCAGCAGTGATGGTGGGGCATTGATGACTCTGCCGACCTGAGGTCTCGGCGTCACGGCCAAAAACACGCACCAAAAACAATGAAAAAAGAAGAAGATAGGCGCTGCACCGAGACGCAGCAGTGATGGTGGGGCATTGATGACTCTGCCGACCTGAGGTCTCGGCGTCACGGCCAAAAACACGCACCAAAAACAATGAAAAAAGAAGAAGATAGAGCTGTACAGGTGAGAAAGATGCAAAAACCCAAGGCTTAACACGAGCGATTGTGGGGGAGAAACTGTCTTAGCGTCATACTATTCATAGGGAATCGACTGCCCAGAGCCAGTTTGTGCTGCGAAGATGGCGGTAAACATTCGTTTTGAATGATTGCATTCTTTTCCACAGCATATTACTAGTATGGCATTCGCCGGGCTCACACAGAATGAAATGGCCGCGTTATTCTTGAGAACCTCGCTTGAAGCACCATTGACACTATCTGTATTTTGTTATGTGACATGTGATACTCGAGACAAGGAAATGCTCATTGCGTATAGTCACATGCAGTCGCAAGGCCACTGCCACAGTAGTTGACCAAAGTGCAACTTTTGCGACTTCCTGCGTGTTTTACAGGATAAACCTCACACAGCATTACAGTAAATGGATGAATGTACAGCTGGACATGCACACCAGTACTTGTACAACTAAAGCGCGATGCACTATATCACTTCTCCGAGGCGATGAGCGTCGAAAGACAGTCTTTTCATATCGTGCAAAGAATCTTCGATGCACAATGCACGGCACATCCCAGCGAAATCCAGGAGTGCACGCACAGTCCAAAACCGTACGCGAGCCGCAAAACTTGTGTCACGTGCGCCTGCCGTGTAGAAAGTGATGCGCATCACTCGTCGCTCGTCGCAGAAGTTGAACTTGGCTCATTTTCCCCGCGATGCAACCTTCGGCGGAGCTGCGGCAGCCTTCAATGCAACGTTTTGCAGAAAATGACCGTCGATCACATCGCTCGTCACTCATCACGTCGCAGGAGCGATATTGTGCATCGCGCTTAACATGGTGTCAACATGGTCGAGGGCCTTATCGTTACGGAGCGCCAAATATACATTTCATGTGGGATTTCAGCGAGCGCAACTGCAGTACACACACTGACTATTGACAGACAGCATTGGAAGTCTCACAACTACACTTGGCAGGATATGTACTAGCTAAATGTCGTCTACAAGACTAGAAGATCACGTCAAAGCCATTTTACGACTTACTCTTCCAACGCTCCATGAAGGGCAACCAAAGTGAAGTTTGTCTCCTCCACGCAGCACGTGTGCACTGGGCTTGCATGTCCGCAACTCTGCTCTGTGTCCGATCCCCAGCTGGATGCCGATGCCCACTGCATCACAGTCCTTGGTTGCAATAGCGATAGTGTGTTGCACTTGTCCACTGTCCAGTTTGATGCACGTCTGCGGAGGAAGTTGAAAATGAAGACATACACAGCGTGAATTCAGCATGTTCTTGTGGCCTCCCAATCGCCGTCCCGGAGAGAGTGCATTTCAAAAAATGCGAGTAGACAAGAAGTGTTTCACACCTTTTCGGCTGCGTTTTCTTGTCTTTGTTTTTTTGCATGATGCCATCAGTGATGTCTTGGCTTCACAGCTCTGCTCATACACATTTTCTTTTCTGTTTTTTTTTTGTTGCTGGAAACTACTGTTGTGGAAATTGAAATTCATTGAAAGCACGCACACCTACCTCAACCAAAAAACAAACAACCTGCCACCCATTTGCTCGGCATTGATCGGCCAGATCTGCATGCCGCCGCCTGTCCTGGTTACTAACACTGAATCTGTCCTCAGCAAAAACTGTCAACTCCATCCAGAATACAATCCTACGACTCGTAGAGTACAGAACTATAATTATCTGGTCTTAGGGTGGTAAGTGCAACACAGCTAGGGAAAGAAATTGTTGCACTGAGTCGACAAGACGTTTCCAGTCTGAGGCCGCTGACAGGAGATCAGTCGTAACCAACTTTCGTCTGGCTGAACGCGAACTGGCTTCTCTCCCGCATTGCAAAACGAGATGAAGTCAAGCTCATTAGAATTTCGGTTTGTACGGTGTTTGCAGCAGTGCGGATTCGAATCTCCTCACGCATGTTTCTGACGATGACCCAGAGTACGTTGTCGTGCCTCCAGGTGTAACGTCCCTGGTCCAGTGCTACGCGGCATGTGCCAAGCACGTGGTGCGTAGTACAGGCCCATGCACGGCACAAACTACAGTACGGATCCACTACCGTGTTTCCCCAACGGTGAAGGTTCGTCGGAGAAGGTAGTACGTCAAGGGTTGACGGAAGAAGAAATTTCAAATCGTTACCAGTACCACCATACAAAAGGGATTTCCACGAGAGGTCCAGCCACATCACCAAAGTGTGTGTATGTGAGAGAGAGAGAGAGAGAGAGAGAGAGAGAGAGAGAGAGAGAGAGAGCGAGAGAGAGAGAGAGAGAACGCGAACGTGAGAGCGAGCGGGAGAGAGAGAGAGAGAGAGAGAGAGAGAGAGAGAGAGAGAGAGAGAGAGAGACAGCGAGATAGAGTGAGTGAGAGAGAGAGAGAGAATCAGGCAGACAGAAGATCAGACTCCAAACTCGAATTGCTGGGCCCTAAGTGGTTTGCCTATAAAGTCATATGACCAGTGCTCTGCAAAAACCGACCTTAGCTATTTTGGCGAAATTGAGTTTGTGCTGGATTGTTGACCCATGACCCTTTCTTCAACTTCTGGTGAAGTTTGAGGTGGATTGCATACATATTCAGTTAGATACAATGACAATTTCTTTGCACTTTTCCTACAATTTTTGAGGAAAAAAAGCTAAAATCCTGGATTTTATGCTACATTTTGGAGCTGTCATGACCCGGACTCGACTCGTCGTGAAAGCGACCACGCAATGAGATTCAGCAGCCAAAAGCTGGGCTCCGAAATATTCTAGAGTTCTGTAAGAACCATGATTAGTCCTGCGAAGGATTTGGCACTTTCGTTAGTTGAGCAATCATGGCTTACAACTCGTGGCCTCGAGTCACAAGTGTTGTCGTACGGCGGCTACACCTTCAGTACAAGTCGTCAGCATTGTACTCACTACACTGTTGAGCTTGAGGGGACCCTGCTTAGTCCTGCAAGGGAGCTGATACCTTTGTTAGTCGAGCAAGCATGGCACCTCTTCTCGCGTCGTACGACGTAAAGTGTCCTGCAAGTGCTTCGCGCACTGAGGACTCCGTTATCCCTTTTTGGGAGAGGTCGCGGCTTGACCGTGAAGCGACCTACGGGGTAATGAGAGGGAAGAGCCTACGGGGCAGAAGATGAAGGGTGACCCAATCAAGACACCGTACGAAGGCGGCGCGCTCTAGCTGCAGCAACATCCGACAGCGTACTCCAGGCTCCGTCGCACGATCGACGTACGAATAACCTCGGAGATCACTCATATTTGTAACACTATCATGTAATGTGGGTGAGCGAGCTCCCCGAAGCTATACTAAATATTTCCTACTAATTATTATATCACAATTATACTATAACCAAAATCACATAAAAGCCGCCTTCTTCCAACGAATAAAAGTATCTTTGATCGCTCCCCTTCAACCTTCGACTACCTTGTGTGAGCCGGAAAACAGGTGTGAGCTAGCAACTTGGATGGCGACTATATTGGTCGTCTACCTGGGTAGCCACTAGACTGATCTAAGCCAAGTCACAAACCCGCCAAGCGCGGCCCTGACAGAGCCAATGCTGTGAGAATTCAAGCAGCATGATTGCAACCAAACTTTGCAGAATAAATCTGTATGTCATAATCTTCAAAAGGAAAGGTTTATGATGGCATTGGATCTTCCTGTTGTGGAGATAGACACATTCTATCTCTGTTCTGTGGATGGTGTTGTTCACGAATCTGCTCGAAGAGGTATTTGGCTCTGTATGAGGATATGGCAGCCGGAGTGATGGGTAGAGGCAGGTGCAAAGTAGTGAAGAAGCTCAGATTAATGCCGGGTTAAAGGATATTGATAGTTATATCTGGTACTGGTAGTAGAACACTGATCTAGTTATGTCTACATCTGCCGCACACATTGTTTCATAATCGGTGATATCATGGCAGTCTCTTTTCCAAATCTTGCCAAACGTACTGTATACAGGTTTGCCACCAGGCTTTGTGAACGCCTGATGAACAAGCTTCTTCGTAGTGATACTGGGCAAATACATGTAGGTTGGTACTGGCTTGTTGTGCCCATGTGGATCTGCAGGTTAAGGGAGGCCATGAGCTATCATAATGCTCTATAAAATGCTTCAGCTCCACAACATCTTCCACAGGCAGTTCATTCCAGAGTTCATTCAGTTCCTGTGTTGGGCTGATTTCACTTGCACTGACAGCAGCCTGCACAGATTTCAGCACCCAGGGCTTGATTCTGGGCTGGAGGCATACACAAAGACTTCCTGACATGCATGTACATGACTTCCACACCAGCCACTGACTGTAGCCTTCAGTAGTTCAGAGTAGTATTGTTGAGCCCCATCTATCACATCTCCCAGCATGCTGGACGCGCTGGGTAGCCTCACCACGTCTCCTGAGCACGTCTAGCTTTCCGCCTACACACAAGCAGCGCTCTGACTTGGTGAGGACGTGCGCTGTGTGCGCTGTAAATGTAAAGCAAGGTTTCAAGTGTCACGCTCTTGAAACAGCACCAGAGCGGAACAACTACAGCCCTTGTCAAACTTGTCGCGCGCCTCCTGGATTGTAGACAGTACTTGAACCGATTTTTCTTGGTCTGCACTCTGTTTATTGCCGGCATTGAGGGCCTGGGCTGGTGGCAAAACTGACGCCTGATCGAAATTCTCCTCCGCATGGCCGTCCAGCTCGATCAGCGTTGCGACCTGCGACTCCACATTCGACTCTCCTCAGCAATGCTGTCATCAAAACTGCGATTGGACCAGGGCAAAAAATGACTATTCATCGTGAAGGAGTTCGGATGAAACCCCTGGGAGAAGCCCACAGCAATTATTTGAGCGAGCGACCGTCTTCTGCTTCGTTCCGCCATGACTCTGACGTTGTGATCTTCAAAAATCGACAGACCGTGACGTTTTGATCTTTTTCTCGAAAAAAATACGAAGCACCTAAGGTCGGTTTTCGCAGAGCGCGGGTCATATTGTGTTGCAGATATTTGATGTACACGTACGTAAACGCTTGTGACAGGCTACCAGTGCCCTGTAAGCATTTCAAACATTTTGAAAGCAAACATATTATGAGCTAACTTACCAGTGTGACGAGCAACGGAAGCCAGCATCACGTGTGGATGGTCTCTTCGATGACTCTGCGGCAGATTTTGATGACACTGTAGCAGACCTCCATGAAGCTGTAGCAGACCTCCATGAAGCTGTAGCAGATCTCCATGACGCTGTAGCAGACCTCGATGACGCTGTAGCAGACCTCGATGACGCTGTAGCAGATCTCCAAGATGCTGTAGCAAACCTCCATGACGCTGAAGCAGACCTCCATGACGCTGTAGCAGACCTCGATGATGCTTTAGCAGACCTCCATGAAGCTGTAGCAGACCTCCAAGACGCTGTAGCAGACCTCGATGACGCTGTAGCAGACCTTGATGACGCTGTAGCACACCTCGATGACGATGCAGCAGATAACGATAACGCTGTAGCACACCTCGATGATGCTGTAGCAGACCTTGATGACGCTGTAGCAGACCTCGATGACGCTGTAGCAGACCTCGATGATGCTGTAGCAGACCTGGATGACGCTGTAGCAGACCTCCATGACGCTGTAGCAGACCCCCATGACGCTGTAGCAGATCTCCTTGACGCTGTAGCAGGACTCCATGACGCTTTAGCAGACCTCCATGACGCTGTAGCCGACCTCCATGACGCTGTAGCAGACCTCGATGATGATGCAGCAGATCAAGATGATGCTGTAGGAGACCTTGATGACGCCGCAGCAGACCTCGATGACGTCGTAGAAGAGATAGATAGATAGACAGATAGATAGAGAGAGAGAGAGAGAGAGAGAGAGAGAGAGAGAGAGAGAGAGAGAGAGAGAGAGAGAAAGACAGAGAAAGTGAGAGAGAGTGAGAGAGACAGAGAGAGGGGGGAGAGAGAGAGACAGACAGACAAAGAGAGACAGAAAGGGAGAGACAGGGAAAGAGAGAGAGAGACAATGAGAGAGGGAGAGACAGGCAGACAGAGGATCAGACTCCACAATCGAATTGCTGGACCCTAAGTGGTTTGCCTATTTAGACAAAGTGTCGCCAGATATTTGATGTAAGACCGACTCATAGACTCGTTCACTGCCAAGCAACACACAACCCGAATCACCGGTCATGGAGTCACTTGGCTGCCCCACATTATCAAGCATATCAGAGCCCCACACTTCCCTTGAAGGAGTGAGGTTGAATGCAAGACTGACTCTTTGACTCGTTCACTGCCAAGCAACGCACATCCCGAATTGCCGGGCATGAAGTCACTTGGCTGCCCCGCATTATCAAGCATATCAGAGCCCAACACTTCCCATGAAGGATTGAGGTTGTTTAGTGACTCATCGGTCACTGACAGGCAACGTACATCCGAAATCACCAGGTATGGAGTTACAAGTTACAAGTTTCAAGGCATTCCCACAATATCAAGCATATCAGAGCCCCACACTTCCCTTGAAGGAGTGAGGTTGAATGCAAAACTGACTCTTCGACTCGTTTACTGCCTAGCAACGCACATCCCGAATTACCATGCATGGAGTCATTTAGCTGCCCCACATTATCATGCATATCAGAGCCCCATACTTCCCTTGAAGGAGTGAGGTTGAACGCTGGAATGACACAACGTTCACTGCCAGACAACACATGTCCCGAATCACGAGGTATGGAGTTACAAGGCTTTCCCGGATTGTCAAGCATATCAGGGCCCTACACTTCCCTTGAAGGAGTGAGGTTTAATGCAGGACTGACTCATCGAATCGTTCAATGCCAAGCAACACACAACCTGAATCACCGGTCATGGAGTCCCTTGGCTGCCCAGCATTATCAAGCATATCAGAGCCCCACACTTCCCTTGAAGGAGTGGGGTAGAATGCAAGAATGACTCATCGTTCACTGCCAAACAACACACATCCCGAATTACCAGGTATGGAGTTACAAGGCTTCCTCACATTGTCAAGCATATCAGGGCCCCACACTTCCCTTGAAGGAATGAGGTTGAGTGTAAGTTTGACTCCTCGACACGTTCACTGCCAAGCAACACACATCCTGAATCACCGGGCATGGAGTCATTTGGCTTCCCCGCATTATCATGCATATAGAAGCCCCACCCTTTCATTGAAGGAGTGAGGTTGAACGTAAGAATGACTCATCGTTCACAACACACATCCAAATCACCAGGTATGGAGTTACAAGGCTGCCCCACATTGTCAAACACATCAGGGCCCCACACTTCCCTTGAAGGAGTGAGGTTGAACGCAAGAAGGACTCATCGACCCCTTCACTGCCATGCAACACACATCCCGAATGACTAGGTAAGGAGTGACAAGGCATCCCCGCATTGTCAAGCATTACAAAGGCCCCACACTTCCCTTGAACGAGTGAGGTTGAATGCAAGACTGACTTATCGACTCGTTCAATGCTAAGCAACACACAACCCGAATCACCAGTCATGGAGTAACTTGGTTGACCCGCATTATCAAGCATGTCGGAGCCCGACACTTCCCTTGAAGGAGTGAGGTTGGACGAAAGAAGGACTCATCGTCCACTGGCAAGCAACACACATCCCGAATCACCAGGTGATGCGTGACAAGGCTACCCCACATTATCAAGCATATCAGAGCCGCACACCTCCCCTGAAGGAGTGAGGTTGAATGCAAGACTGACTCTTCGACTCGTTCACTGCCAGGCAACGCACATCCCGAATTACCAGGCATGGAGTCACTTGGCTGCCCCGCATTATCAAGCATATCAGAGCCCCACACTTCCCTTGAAGGAGTGAGGTTGAACGCTAGAATGACTCATCGTTCACTGACAAGCAGCACACATCCCCGAATCACCAGGTATGGAGTTACAAGGCTTCCCCACTTTGTCAAGCATATCAGGCCCCACACTTCCCTTGAAGGAGTGAGGTTGAATGCATGACTGACTCATCGACTCGTTCAATGCCAAGCAACACACAACCCGAATCACCGGGCATGGAGTCACTTGGCTGCCTCGCATTATCAAGCATATCAGAGCCCCACACTTCCCTTGAAGGAGTGGGGTTGAACGCAAGAAGGAGTCATCGTACACTGCCAAGCAACACACATCCCGAATCACCAGGTATGAAGTCACTTGACTGCCCCACATTATCAAGCATATCAGAGCCCCACACTTCCCTTGAAGGAGCGAGGTTGAATGCAAGACTGACTCTTCGACTCGTTCACTGCCAAGCAACACACATCCCGAATCACCGGGCATGGAGTCACTTGGCTGCCCCGCATTATCAAGCATATCAGAGCCCCACACTTCTCTTGAAGGAGTGGGGTTGAACGCAAGAAGGAGTCATCGTACACTGCCAAGCAACACACATCCCGAATCACCAGGTAATGGGTGACAAGGCTACCCCACATTATCAAGCATATCAGAGCCCCACACTTCCCTTGAAGGAGTGAGGTCGAATGCAAGACTGACTCATCGACTCGTTCACTGCCAAGCAACACACATCCCGAATCACCGGGTATGGAGTCACTTGGCTGCCCCGCATTATCCAGCATATCAGAGCCCCACACTTCCCTTGAAGGAGTGGGGTTGAACGCAAGAAGGAGTCATCGTACACTGCCAAGCAACACACATCCCGAATCACCAGGTAATGGGTGACAAGGCTACCCCACATTATCAAGCATATCAGAGCCCCACACTTCCCTTGAAGGAGTGGGGTTGAATGCAAGACTGACTCATCAACTCGTTCACTGCCAAGCAACACACATCCCGAATCATCAGGTATGGAGTTACAAGGCTTCCCCCCTTTGTCAAGCATATACGGCCCCACACTTCCCTTGAAGGAGTGAGGTTGAATGCATGACTGACTCGTCGACTCGTTCAATGCCAAGCAACACACAACCCGAATCACCGGGCATGGAGTCACTTGGCTGCCTCGCATTATCAAGCATATCAGAGCCCCACATTTCCCTTGAAGGAGTGGGGTTGAACGCAAGAAGGAGTCATGGTACACTGCCAAGCAACACACATCCCGAATCACGAGGAATGCGGTGACAAGGCTTCCCCACATTATCAAGCATGTCAGAGCCCCACATTTCCCTTGAAGGAGTGAGGTTGAATGCAAGACTGACTCATCGACTCATTCACTGCCAAGCCACACACATCCCGAATCACCAGGCATGGAGTCACTTGGCTGCTCCGCATTATCAAGCATATCAGAGCCCCCCACACTTCCCTTGAAGGAGTGGGGTTGAATGCAAGGAGTCATCGTACACTGCCCAGCAACACACATCCCGAATCAATAGGCGATGGGTGACAAGGCTACCCCACATTATCAAGCATATCAGAGCCCCACACTTCCCTTGAAGGAGTGAGGTTGAATGCAAGACTATATCATCGCGTCGTTCACTGCCAAGCAACACACATCCCGAATCAAAGGGCATGGAGTCACTTGGCTGTCCCGCATTATCAAGCATATCAGAGCCCCACACTTCCCTTGAAGGAGTGAGGTTGACTGCAAGACTGACTCTTCGACTCGTTCACGGCCAAGCAACACACATCCCGAATTTCCGGATATGTAGTCACTTGGCTGCCTCGCATTATCAAGCATATCAGAGCCCCACCCTTGAAGGAGTGAGGTTGAACGCAAAACTGACTCTTCGACTCGTTCACTGCCAGGCAACGCACATCCCGAATTACCGGGCATGGAGTCACTTGGCTGCCCCGCATTATCAAGAATATCAGAGCCCCACACTTCCCTTGAAGGAGTGAGGTTGAACGCTAGAATGACTCATCGTTCACTTACAAGCAGCACACATCCCCGAATCACCAGGTATGGAGTTACAAGGCTTCCCCACTTTGTCAAGCATATCAGGCACCACACTTCCCTTGAAGGAGTGAGGTTGAATGCATGACTGACTCATCGACTCGTTCAATGCCAAGCAACACACAACCCGAATCACCGGGCATGGAGTCACTTGGCTGCCTCGCATTATCAAGCATATCAGAGCCCCACACTTCCCTTGAAGGAGTGGGGTTGAACGCAAGGAGTCATCATACACTGCCAAGCAACACACATCCCTAATCACCAGGTATGGAGTCACTTGACTGCCCCACATTTTCAAGCATATCAGAGCCCCACACTTCCCTTGAAGGAGCGAGGTTGAATGCAAGACTGAATCATTGACTCGTTCACTGCCAAGCAACACACATCCCGAATCACCGGGCATGGAGTCACTTGGCTGCCCCGCATTATCAAGCATATCAGAGCCCCACACTTCCCTTGAAGGAGTGGGGTTGAACGCAAGAAGGAGTCATCGTACACTGCCAAGCAACACACATCCCGAATCACCAGGTAATGGGTGACAAGGCTACACCACATTATCAAGCATATCAGAGCCCCACACTTCCCTTGAAGGAGTGAGGTTGAATGCACTACTGACTCATCAACTCGTTCACTGCCAAGCAACACACATCCCGAATCACCAGGTATGGACTTACAAGGCTTCCCCACTTTGTCAAGCATATACGGCCTCACACTTCCCTTGAAGGAGTGAGGTTGAATGCATGACTGACTCGTCGACTCGTTCAACGCCAAGCAACACACAACCCGAATCACCGGGCATGGAGTCACTTGGCTGCCTCTCATTATCAAGCATATCAGAGCCCCACACTTCCCTTGAAGGAGTGGGGTTGAACGCAAGAAGGAGTCATCGTACACTGCCAAGCAACACACATCCAGAATCACAAGGAATGGGGTGACAAGGCTTCCCCACATTATCAAGCATGTCAGAGCCCCAAATTTCCCTTGAAGGAGTGAGGTTGAATGCAAGACTGACTCATCGACTCATTCACTGCCAAGCTACACACATCCCGAATCACCAGGCACGGAGTCACTTGGCTGCTCTGCATTATCAAGCATATCAGACCCCCACACTTCCCTTGAAGGAGTGGGGTTGAATGCAAGGAGTCATCGTACACGGCCCAGCAACACACATCCCGAATCACCAGGTGATGGGTGACAAGGCTACCCCACATTATCAAGCATATCAGAGCCCCACACTTCCCTTGAAGGAGTGAGGTTGAATGCAAGACTATATCATCGCCTCGTTCACTGCCAAGCAACACACATCCCGAATCAAAGGGCATGGAGTCACTTGGCTGTCCCGCATTATCAAGCATATCAGAGCCCCACACTTCCCTTGAAGGAGTGAGGTTGTCTGCAAGACTGACTCTTCGACTCGTTCACGGCCAAGCAACGCACATCCCGAATTGCCGGGCATGGAGTCACTTGCAAGACTATATCATCGCCTCGTTCACTGCCAAGCAACACACATCCCGAATCAAAGGGCATGGAGTCACTTGGCTGCCCCGCATTATCAAGCATATCAGAGCCCCACACTTCCCTTGAAGGAGTGAAGTTGACTGCAAGACTGACTCTTCGACTCGTTCACGGCCAAGCAACGCACATCCCGAATTGCCGGGCATGGAGTCACTTGGCTGCCTCGCATTATCAAGCATATCAGAGCTCCACACTTCCCTTGAAGGAGTGGGGTTGAACGCAAGAAGGAGTCATCGTACACTGCCAGGCAACACACATCCCGAATCACCAGGTATGGAGTCACTTGACTGCCCCACATTATCAAGCATATCAGAGCCCCACACTTCCCTTGAAGGAGTGGGGTTGAATGCAAGACTGACTCATCGACTCGTTCACTGCCAAGCAACACACAACCCGAATCACCGGGCATGGAGTCACTTGGCTGCCCCGCATTATCAAGAATATCAGCGCCCCACACTTCCCATGAAGGAGTGGGGTTGAACACAAGGAGTCATTGTACACTGCCAAGCAACACACATCCCGAATCACCAGGTGATGGGTGACAAGGCTACCGAACATTATCAAGCGGATCAGAGCCCCACACCTCCCTTGAAGGAGTGAGGTTGAATGCAAGACTGAATCATCGACGCGTTCACTGCCAAGCAACACACATCCCGAATCAAAGGGCATAGAGTCACTTGGCTTCCCCGCATTATCAAGCATATCAGAGTCCCACACTTCCCTTGAAGGAGTGAGGTTGAATGCAAGATTTGAATCATCAACTCGTTCACTGCCAAGCAACACACATCCCGAATCACCAGGTATGGACTTACGAGGCTTCCCCACTTTGTCAAGCATATCAGGCCCCACACTTCCCTTGAAGAAGTGAGGTTGAATGCATGACTGACTCATCGACTCGTTCAATGCAAAGCCACACATAACCCGAATCACCGGACATGGAGTAACTTGGCTGCCTCGCATTATCAAGCATATCAGAGCCCCACACTTCCCTTGAAGGAGTAGGGTTGAACGCAAGAAGGAGTCATCGTACACTGCCAAGCAACACACATCCCGAATCACGAGGAATGGGGTGACAAGGCTACCCCACATTATCAAGCATATCAGAGCCCCTCACTTCCCTTAAAGGAGTGAGGTTGAATGCAAGACTATATCATCGACTCGTTCACTGCCAAGCAACACACATCCCGAATCAAAGGGCATGGAGTCACTTGGCTGCCCCGCTTTATCAAGCATATCAGAGCCCCACACTTCCCTTGAAGGAGTGAGGTTGACTGCAAGAATGACTCTTCGACTCGTTCACGGCCAAGCAACGCACATCCCGAATTGCCGGGCATGGAGTCACTTGGCTGCCTCGCATTATCAAGCATATCAGAGCCCCACACTTCCCTTGAAGGAGTGGGGTTGAACGCAAGAAGGAGTCATCGTACACTGCCAAGCACCACGCATCCCGAATCACGAGGAATGGGGTGACAAGGCTTCCCCACATTAGCAAGCATATCAGAGCCCACACTTCCCTTGAAGGAGTGAGGTTGCACGCAAGAAGGAGTCATCTTAGCCAAGCAACACACATCCCGAATCACCAGGTAATGGGTGACAAGGCTACCCCACATTATCAAGCATATCAGAGCCCCACACTTCCCTTGAAGGAGTGAGGTTGAATGCAAGACTGACTCATCAACTCGTTCACTACCAAGCAACACACATCCCGAATCACCAGGTATGGAGTTACAAGGCTTCCCCACTTTGTCAAGCATATCAGGCCCCACACTTGCCTTGAAGGAGTGAGGTTGAATGCATGACTGACTCATCGACTCGTTCAATGCCGAGCAACACACAACCCTAATCACCGGGCATGGAGTCACTTGGCTGCCTCGCATTGTCAAGCATATCAGAGCCCCACACTTCCCTTGAACGAGTGGGGTTGAACGCAAGAAGGATTCATCGTACACTGCCAAGCAACACACATCCCGAATCACGAGGAATGGGGTGACAAGGCTTCCCCACATTATCAAGCATATCAGAGCTACACATTTCCCTTGAAGGAGTGAGGTTGAATGCAAGACTGACTCATCGACTCGTTCACTGCCAAGCTACACACATCCCGAATCACCAGGCATCGTGTCACTTGGCTACTCCGCATTATCAAGCATACCAGAGCCCCACACTTCCCTTGAAGGAGTGGGGTTGAACGCAAGGAGTCATCGTACACTGCCAAGCAACACACATCCCGAATCACCAGGTTATGGGTGACAAGGCCACCCCACATTGTAAAGCATATCAGAGCCCCACACTTCCCTTGAAGGAGTGAGGTTGAATGCAAGACTGAATCATCGACTCGTTCACCGCCAAGCAACACACATCCCGAATCAAAGGGCATGGAGTTACTTGGCTGCCCCGCATTATCAAGCATGTCAGAGCCCCACACTTCCCTTGAAGGAGTGAGGTTGAATGCAAGACTGACTCTTCGACTCGTTCACGGCCAAGCAACGCACATCCCGAATTGCGGGGCATGGAGTCACTTGGCTGCCTCGCATTATCAAGCATATCAGAGCCCCACACTTCCCTTGAAGGAGTGGGGATGAACGCAAGAAGGAGTCATCGTACACTGCCAAGCAACACACATCCCGAATCACCAGGTATGGAGTCACTTGATTGCCCCACATTATCAAGCATATCAGAGCCCCACACTTCCCTTGAAGGAGTGAGGTCGAATGCAAGACGGACTCATCGACTCGTTCACTGCCAAGCAACACACATCCCGAATCACCGGGCATGGATTCACTTGGCTGACCCACATTATCGAACGTATCAGAGCCCCA